TACCATTGATTTGTGTTTACAATACTTCAATTTTATCTACTCATTTGAATTTTAAAGATATGTCGTTTATTTTTGATAAAATCAAATAATTCCATCTATCAGATAATTCCATCAAAAATGTGTATAACTAATAAAATAATATTGTTATTGATATTCTATTTCTAATACATATATATATCTTTTAAATATTTCTAATTGTATATATGGAGCGAAAAGAATTTTCTAAATTTTCACCTCTGTATTTTTATCATTTTATTAAATTTGTTGACGTAAGTTCAAAAAACAGCGTGACAGTATCTAAGTAATTTAATAATCAAGTATATAATAAGAAAACTATTTAACATAAATCCACAAAGCATTGTTATCATCAGAAAAAAGTACTTATTTAAAAAAAAATGCCTTAAAATTATTGTTTCGGAGTAAATTCTGATTATTATGGTATCAGAATTTTTGTTTTTTTGCAATCATGTCCTAATTTTATCATCGTTAGGATATGACTTACCCCTATCTATATTTTATGAGCTCATACATAATATCTCTCTTTATGGTTATATACATAAATTAAATTCTCTAATTAAGTTATTAAATTCTGCAACTATGTCTACGTGGATTTAGATATGCACGCATGACAATCATATTCTCTTCTATGTATCACTTCAAATGCTACTCCAAAGATTTGGGTTGGTAGTATAGAACTTCAAAATTTCGAAGATTTTATTAACACAATTTTTGATAACGAGTATACTGGAAAAATATTTTTAAACGTTACTTAACCCCTTCTTCTATTAATTTTTATCAATTCAATATTGAATTGATAAAAATCTAATTTTCACCTTTTTCTTCGTAACCATTACCTAGGAGTGACCCTGGATTTGTTTTTTTTTTTTTTGCTTATTTTCATGTCATTATAATCTAGAAATAGAAATTTTGACGTTTCAAAAATTTCGTGCTTGTATTCTTAAAATACATGTGCGCACACTAGAGAGTAAAAGCAATAACATATTTTTTTTGTATAAGTACAGAACATGTATGTATGTATATATGAATCTCATTACATTTTGAAAGATTTACGATATTAAAATTTACGTTAAAGTCATACTAAAATGAAGAAAGAGCTTTTATGAATGTATTTAGTTTTTTGGGTATTTTTACCGTATATTTTTAAATGTCATTTTCAAATAGCTTAAGTTTATATTTGACTTACGTGTGTATACTTATAATTTTATCAATTTAAAAATTTTGTATAGACAAGTGAAAAATATTTAAAAAGTTTACAAGAAACTATAACTGTAAAGGCACTTTTTATATTAAAAGCTTAAAAAAGTTTAAAAAAAGTTCTTTATTATTCATTTAATACTGTTATTTAATTAATGCAACGGATTCATTTCAAAATATCACAAATTCAAAATAGACAAAAATGGAGGCCATCGCAAAATATAAGAAAACGAAAAATCTTTTTGGTGCACAGCTTACATCAAGTCAATACCGGTATTGTGGTGAGTGAATAAGGTTTTTTAAATTCAGTTTAAAAATTTTTGAAAAATAAGTTCTCGTTATTTTCACTCTGTCCTTATTAATAAAATTTTTCTTATAACTTAATTTCAAAAATTTTATTATACTTTAACATTATGTTGTTACAAAGCGACCATATTTATTTTCTCATATTTCTCTCACGTTTTCAAGTTGAAGTACTTCTTAATTAAGATAACTTATTTGTTTTAGTAGAAATTTCGAAAAAAAATTTATTATCAATAAAGTTATTGCGAGTGTATATAGACTAAAAATAGAAAATCCAAGAAGAAATTAAAAAAGCTCATATTTTTAGATAAAATTCCATAAGAGGCATAAACAAAAATTAAAAGCGTACCGCTTCAAATTGCAGAGGAAGCATTGCGATCTTAAATAATATTAATTCATACAGTAAGCTCCTATTGTTAACGAGGTTTTCCACAACCAATAAAATCTTATTTAAAACGAATTCTAAACGTAGTTTAAGGGTGGCTTAACGCCACATTTTATTTCTGGATTATATTTTCCGAACAATTATATGGATTATATTCGAACCAAAATTACCGAACAATTATATGCTAATTTATCATTAAATTTTAATCATATTTCAGATGTATATACAACTTTTATACCCGTACAAACGTATGTTCGAAGGATATACTAAATTTGCCATACTGTTTGTAACACTGTAAGAAATAATGGTCTTAGATATAAACTTAAGTGTATCTAAGCCGATTTAGCTTTGTCTGCCCGTCCGTCCCAGCGATAATTCATAAACTAATTGAGCTAAGTTCACCAAATTTTCACAAATGATTTACTTATTATAGTAAATGCCAGAACCCTATTTAAATTGGATAAGATCGTGGTACTGGTTCGGGTAGCTGCCATACAACTTCAAAATTTATTTGGTTGTATCTTAGAAACTATAAAAGGAGTGGTATTGAAATTTCATACAAGCGAATACATTAGTTGGACCAATGTGTTTGATAAAATTCGTTGAAATTGTTTGGCTCTTTCTGGTAGCTGGCATACAACTTCAATAGTAGTTCGGTCATATCTTAGAAAATATTGAAAACACAGTATCTACTTAAATTTTTGCATTAATTAATATGCTAACTTAAAGTTATGGTCTGTCCCATAGTCACTTATGACATATTTATTCGCACATAGGATAACAAATTCGTACGGATATTATAGAGTTGACACGGTCAACTCTATTTTTTCTCGTTAGTTTTGCAACTGCTTTATTGCTTATTTGTATTCCATAGGTTTATATTGAAGCGTGCACACATGCAACTTTATGGTGGCATACAATTAAATACAATTAAGCAATCAAATAATTTTGTAATTTTTTTACTAACTGATTGCAATTTCTATTTAACACACACGATTTGAATTGACGCAATGGTTTAGTTAGTTAGATTTGCACGAAGCAATTCTACAATAAAGCAGCAATTGCAAAATTAAAAATTATATGTCTGCCTAAAACAAACTAAAACTAATATGATAAATGACAGATTAAATTTTAGAAGTTAGACTTGTTTTTTAACCTTTATTAATTTGTCTACATTTACGTTTACATTTTCCAAATTTTGTTTAATTAATTTTTATGCAATTTTATGTCAAATTCTTGTATGAAATATTAAGTGATTTTAAAATAAGGTAGGACTACATTTGAAAACAAGTTTGAATTTCTAACCAAATTGATATTTTTAATTATTGGCTTTAACATTTTAATTTGTTTAAGAAATTTTTTTTTGAAGAAAATCAAATCAAATAAATAGAAATAATTTTTAATATAATTCAAATTCTATTGTCAAACTGGTAGACTTCTACTAGACTTATGTAATAATGACTATTATGAAATAATAATTACAACTGTAACTATAAAAGAGTGGAGGCTCTTTGATCTTAGACTAAATAAATAAATAACATATGAATGAAATAATAAGAAATTATTACAAACATTCCTTATTTTCAAAGTAACTACGTCAAAAGATATTACTGTTATATTACATTAAATTATAGTAGGAGAATTCCTTTTTTACTAATTTAAGAATTCATTACATTAGAGAAAAGTGTTTGTCAGATCTGAAACATAAAAAATAATTTTAAATTTAGTTCTGATAAAAAAAAGTTATAATTATATTTCATCCCAATACGATACCAATTCAGTATGATTGCGATTTTTCTTCCTATATCAATTCAGTTGCAAACATATTTTAAGATAGTTAAATTTAATTAAAAAATATATAATAAATATGAGAGTTCTTAAAATATTTCTTTCCGTTATTTTAATAAATTTAATTGATGTTTCATTTCAATATTATTCAAACAATTTTGAAAAATATTCTAATTCAACTTTTTTAATACTTGAACAATATAGTAATGAATTAGATGCTCGTTTAATAGATCGACAACAATCTCGCTATAACTATAATTCAAATAGTAATAATTATTACTATAAATATGATCTTGAAAAATATAATAATAAAAATTTTATAATTTTTAAAAATTGTCGGATAAAATATCTATATGAAATTTATAAAAATTTAAAAAATGTTAAATCTATAAGTTTTGAAAATTGCATATTTTCTAAAGAATTTCAATATAGTAAATATGCAAATGATAGCAGTTATAATATTACAGAATTATCATTTGCTAATAATGATCTTGAGAATTATGAATTTTTAATTAAATCTAATGAATTATTAAATAATATTAAAATATTATATTTACAAAATAATAAAATTAGATATTTGAAACCATTTAATTATTCAAAATTACAAATATTAAATTTAAGTGAGAATTTTATATATAAAATTGATAATAATTCATTTAAAAATTGTACAGAATTAAAAGAATTATATCTTGATGATAATACAATATCAGAATTAAACAAAAATTTATTTGAAAATTTAATCAATTTAAAAATTTTATCATTAAATGGAAATACTATATACAAAATAAAGACAAAATTATTAGAAAATTCAAATTATTTAGAAATATTAAATTTGAGTAGAAATCATTTAGAATCAATTGATGATTATGGATTTTATAATTTGAAAAAATTACAAATTTTAGATTTATCAAATAATTATTTAGAAAATTTAAATAATGGAAATTGGTTTGACAATAACTCTAATATTATTAATTTAAATTTACAAACAAATAAAATAAATATGATAACACATAATGATTTTTCTAAATTACAAAAATTAAAAATTTTAAATTTAAATAATAATTTAATTAAAACAATCGAATTAAATTCATTTGCCAATAATAAAGATTTAATTAAATTGCAATTATCAAATAATAAATTAATTATAATTAATGGAGAAAATTTGAAATTTTTAGAGAATCTTGTTATTCTAGATTTATCAAAAAATTGGAATTTGCAAATTATTGAAACCCAAAACAATATTTCGTTGCATAATTTATTAAATTTAAATTTATCTGAAACAAATATTAAAAATATAAATTTTCAAATAATGAATAATATTGAAGAATTAGATTTATCTTCTAATAATTATACAATTTTAAATTTAAATATATTGAATGATTTAAGAATGTTACAAAAACTTTACATAAATAATAATCAATTGAAAGAAATTGATTATAAACATTTAAGAATATCTAAAAGAGGTTTTACAATTAATATTAGTAATAATAATTGGAATTGTACATATTTAAAGGAAATGCTAAATTTTTTTTCTACAAAAATTATAACTGTATTAGTTGAATTACCATATTATGTACAAAGATCACATTATAATGATCGACTTTACCATAATTACAATGATGAAGACTCAATTAACGGTATTAAATGTGTTTCAAAGAATAATGAAATCATATTAACAACAACAACAGCATATACAACACTTCATAATGAAATACCGTCAACAACATCAACAACTATATCAACAACTTCATCAACAACTAAATTAACATCAACATCATTAAAGACGACAACCTTATTAGAAGAAGATGGTTCTAATGAAAATTACTTTGCAGCAAGTAATAATAATGATACAAGTAATGAAGATAGTAATATCAACTTGACACATTATTATGATAATACGATATTAAATAAAACAACTACTGTAATACAAAAACATAATTTGACATATGTAACAGTCATTATAATTTTAAGTATTGTTATAATTATATTAATAATTGCAATTGGAATAATTGTTAAAATTAATAATTATGATAAAATTGGAGAACAAACGTTTCCATTTAAAATAACTTTTATGAAATAATTAATTATGGAGCAATATATAAATTTATTTTTATTAATATGTATGTATATAAATTATTACTGTAATATTGTGAATTGTTAATAAATAAAACGGAGAATATTGTATTTTATATTAATTATATTAAAATAAATTCAAATCAACTTAAATTGTTGTAGTTATACAGTTATCAGTTAGCTCAATTGAAAATCAGAACTCAAATATTAAATATCAAAAAATTCCGTTACATAGTTCCTTAAATATTAAGTTAGTGTGATTTCTGTAGTAACCGATGCCTATAATATTACCAAAAAATTTTCTTCTTCATTGTTTGAGCAATATTTGTTGATTATTTTTTTTTAACTAGGCCGAAAACACGTCTATTAAAGGGTTTAATTGCTAATGTCTTATTTCAAGAAGAATTTTGTGTTATTTTTGGTCAAAAAAAAAAAACTGTCAATTATTATTGTTAAAGTAAAAAGCTCAGTTTAGGGCGTTAAACTTCTTGATTTTCTTGGCCATCCCGTTACTAGTGATGACATTGGGACATTCATTGAAAAGTGTTCTCCCATTCGTGATTTGGCTCCGCTCAAACTTGAACAAAATGTTGGGAGTTCATAAGACCCGTACAGCGGATTACCGTAATCATGTTAGGCATTACAGTTACCGTTAAGGATGACTTAGAGCATTGCCCTGTGGAAATACTGTATGGACAAACTTTGAAGCTTATACTAATATAAGTTAGTATATATTAGGAGATTTGCGCTGCAGGAAGAGCAATATAGCGACGCCAATTAAAATCGATTATTGGTCTGCAAAGTTATGTATATGTATGTGCGTACGTTAGTCACTTAACAATCGCATTTTAATTTCATATGAAACGAAGTTTATCGAGAATTTATTGTCTATGATATGTATTGCATAACCTGAAATCATTGTTGTATTCTTAAGAGATTTGTCGTATGGTTAGCATTTGAACAATTAAAACTGCAAGGTAGTAACTTAAAGAATTAAATTATTAAAAGTTATAAATCGTTAAAATGATATTAGATAAAATAAAGTTGAGTCAAACAAATGGTTTGTAATGTAGCACTTTTCTCTTGAACAAGTGAAAATACTACTTTTATACACTATTAAAATTACTTTCATTCAAAGACGAAACTATATCGAAAATGGCATACATTTAGGATGAGGAATCTATGGAATATTTGAAATAAAACGGAAAAAACATTTAATGACATTTAATTAAATATAAGTTTCCAAAAAATCAAATTCAAAAAATTTCGAAAGGTGATAACTGGAGGGGGTGGAGGTGGAAAAGAATTTTCTTCTAAAGAAGTGAACTACTTTTTAGTGTCTAAAAGCTGTTAAAATCTCACAATAGGGTATAGAAGGAAAACGACATCAAAAATTAAAAAAAAATATATTTTAGACAACGGTTACGTTTATCAGCAATTTTATTTTTTTTTAGTTCAAATGTGGCAAGCCACGGTTAAGAAGCTAGACACTATTTTTCTGGTTTTTTAGGGTTTTAGGGGCACTTTTAGAGAGGGACAGATAGGTAAAAATTTTCTTCCACAGAAATAAGTTTCTAGTAAAGATCTACATATGTAAATATAAAATTTCAGCTTTCTATCTTCACGAGTGTATAAGTTTTGTAAACGCGTCCACGGACGGACGAATACATTGAAACTAATAAAAATAAAAAAATCACAAAAAGTGTTTTATTAAAACTATGGATGCTGAGGACGATCACAACCTTACTTTATTGTATGCAATGCATTCAGTTATAATTGATTAGAACAAATTACAATGTACAATCCTTATCAGAAAAGTTACACTCACAACATCCACAACATTCTACAAGCTTTGCTGATTGTATTCTACTCTTCGTTCTTTATATAGCTGTAGTTATATAGAAATATATTAAACAAATTGTTAAAAATTAAAACGGTGTTTTCCCTTTTTTCATTGAAATTTGATCTTTAGCACTTATGTGCAAATATTCAACAATTCAAAATAAAAATTATCAATTTTAAAAGTTTTTTTGTTTACAAAGCGCATTTCGTCTACTACATACACAGTATACATGCATATACAAACGTAGTACAGAGTTTAGACATATCAAAAATTACAATTGATTTAATTTGCTTCAAAATCAGTAAAACGTCATTTAGTCACTTTAAGGGAGTATTAAGTATTAAGCAATACCGTAATTGTTTATATTTATATAAGAATAATATTAAAACTTACTCAGTTTAGAATGCTATGCAAAATTCGAATTTCTATATAAAGTCTAAAAACAATTTTTGGTATCGGTAGAATAGAAAATGATATTAAATTTAAGTAAACAGTAATTCTGGATTGTCTTTTACATATAATCTCGTCACGTTGGTGACGAATATCGATCAGCATGAACTATTAACATTATCTCTCTCTCTCTCTCTCTCTCTCTACATCAAATTTATTATAACTAACTCCAAGTCGATAAAAAACAACTTACACAAATTTTAAATCATTTAAACTATTGAATTTTATATTTAATTTTTATGTCCAAATCTTTAATTAATGTTAAATTTTTTTAATCAATATACTGTAAATACTTTGTTCCTCTTAATAAGTTGATTGCACCTGTATACAAAAGGATATTCAAAACTCATTGTAATGACAACCTATTTGCTCAGCGTTGATTTTTGAAGCAATTTAATTTTTTCCTTCCACTTCTTGTCCATCTTTTCCAACGAAGCTTACAAAATTTTTGCAAATTTTTAGTTAGAAAATGTTTGAAACTTGGTTTAATTAAGAGTTCAATCGAAGCAGCAATATACAGTTATCAGCCGTAAAACTTGAGACTATCTAAGGTATACAGTTTTCAAATATACAAAGCATTTCAGTTTGTAGATAGAGTTACTAGTGCTGTCAAATTTAGCTGTTGTTGTCGAAAAATTCATGGAAAACAATAATACGAGTATCAATTTTAACTTTTATTTTTAAATTCTCTTCTCTTCCTTATCTCTATCATTTCTTATCTTAAAGAATTAATTATTTTTATAATTATTTTTGAAATAAAAAAGAAATTTATTCAGTTAATTTGCGAGATTTGGTCAGTTTAGACATTGCCTAAGATTTTTATTGAAAAAAAAATTGATTAAACTAATATAATTAGTGTTTTTTAAAAATACAAACGAAATGAAGAAATTTATTTTAAATTTTTATTTAATTCTTTTACTTTTTAAACAATCCTATCAAGAAACAGACCGTCTTTGGGAAAGGAATTATGGTAATTCAGTTATACTTGAAAAATACGGCAATGCACCATTTGCCCCAATATATGATAATAATTTTAGATACAATTATAAGTATGACGATGTAAATTACATTAATTACGATTTGTCTCAGTATTCAACCAAAGATTTTGTAACTTTTCAAAATTGTTATGCAATGGATTTAAGTAAAATAATTAATAATTTAGAAACTGTTCCTAATTTACGTTTTAAAAATTGTGAACTTTATGAGAACGAACATGGAAATCGTCATTCTTCAAAAGAAATTCAAAAAATAGACTTCAGTTTTAATAATTTAAAAAGTATTAATTTTTTGAATAAATTAAAAGTAAACAATTATTTGGAAATAGATTTAAGTTATAATCTAATTAAATATTTGAAATCAATAAATATTATGAATGCAGTAGCAATTAATTTAAATCAAAATTTTATATTTAAGCTAGACAATAATATTTTTGAAAATTCTACACTATTAGAAAAGTTATACATCGATGATAATTCGATAACAAAATTAAATGAAAATTTATTCAAAAATTTAGTTAATTTAAAAATTTTATCATTAAATGGAAATACAATTTTTGAAATAAAATCAAGACTATTTGAAAATTTATTTAATTTGGAACAATTAAATTTAGGTGGAAATCATTTAGAATTAATTGAAGATTTTTCATTTTATAATTTGAAAAAATTACAAATTTTAGATTTATCAAATAATTATTTAGAAAATTTAAATAATGGAAATTGGTTTGACAACAATTCTAATATTATTAATTTAAATTTACAAACAAATAAAATAAATATGATAACACATAATGATTTTTCAAAATTACAAAAATTAAAAATTTTAAATTTAAATAATAATTTAATTACAACAATCGAATTAAATTCATTTGCCAATAATAAAGATTTAATTAAATTGCAATTATCAAATAATAAATTAATTATAATTAATGGAGAAAATTTGAAATTTTTAGAGAATCTAGTTATTCTAGATTTATCAAAAAATTGGAATTTGCAAATTATTGAAACCCAAAATAATATTTCGTTGCATAATTTATTAAATTTAAATTTATCTGAAACAAATATTAAAAATATAAATTTTCAAATAATGAATAATATTGAAGAATTAGATTTATCTTCTAATAATTATACAATTTTAAATTTAAATATATTGAATGATTTAAGAATGTTACAAAAACTTTACATAAATAATAATCAATTGAAAGAAATTGATTATAAACATTTGAGAATATCTAAAAGAGGTTTTACAATTATTCTAAATAATAATGATTGGAATTGTACCTATTTAAATAAAATGTTAGAGTACTTTGATAACAAATCAATTGAATTTGATAAAGAAAATGATCATAACGATAATAAAATGTATCAGTTAATTGAAAATAATAGAAAAAATTCCGAAAATAAAAATGAAAATTCGAATAGTAATGAAGATGAATTTTATAATGGTAAATTTATTCATGGTATTAATTGTGTTTTTAAAAATAATTATTTTTTTAATAATGCAATTAATAATTTTTTGGAAATAACAACAGAGATTCCATTAAAATCGTTAGAAGATTATTAAATAAGATTTTGTCAAACGAACACATGTACACATAAAATATTAGTTGTTAAATCAATTCTATGGCAATGAACTAAAACCATCTAATTCAATTTAGCATAATAAATTGATATAATATAATATGTAGTAGATACAATATAAAAATTTTTCGCATTCAAATATAAAATCAAATATAAAATTTAATAAAATTGTGTTAAATTCTTGCAATCCTTTAGGTATATTGTCAAGTTACAAAAAAAAAAACACGCTCGCCAGGAATATTAACCCAAATAAGGTAAAAAAAACAATTACAGAGTAAATGCGCTGATTGTGGACCACCTATTTTACTTCTGCAATTTTCTAAATTATCTTTTAAATATTTTTAAACTGGACAAGATCCACAATCAAAGATTGTTTTAAATACCATTTAAA